GCTCAGTTTCTTGGGAAAATCTAGGGAAATAAGTTTCGCCGCGGTTAAAAACGTCCCTTCCTCTCCTCCTTCTCCACGTTCTCGGAAAAAAAAAGATCTTTTCCATTTGAATAGGACGTATCACTTCTGGCGCAGGAATCTGTGCCGTTCGGCCTCTATTCTTCTGGGATGGTATACCCCAGTGGTTCTCGAGAGTATCTTCTGAAAACACTCGATGCCCTTTCACGGAGAGCTCCCTTCCCGCCGCAGCCCTAAGCCGATGGGCTATTCATGGCCCTGACAAGGCTAGCCTTTGAGGTGCATGACCTGTGCAGCAACTGCATCGAGCGAGCCACGCATAGAAATGCCCCGTGAAACGATCGCTATTTCTGTTCGCATTGCGTGCACCCTTTGATCGTTCCTTGCCTATTTATCATACGACGCGCGATTACACTGTAACACGTTGGTACCTACGATTAAAAAGAAGGATTCTGTTTTCCTTTGAAAGTGTGTGCCGTCCTCCCCTTCTTCCCTCTGGCGATTAAATTTCGCGACACCCCGACCGTGGCCACCTCGCTCTATTAAGCCCCCTCTTTTCTCCATTAATCGTTAATGGCTTGCGAAGCTTGAAAGTAGCGGATCGCTTCACGGTCGCTGATCCTTGGCGCTTGGCTCGTGCCTGACGTTGTAAGTCAACCGTGGCTGCTCGTAAATATTTATTGCCTGCTCTTTTTCTTTTTTTTTTTTCTTTTTTTTTTTTTTTTTTTCTATCTTCTCGACGTAACGGGACGCACACGAATTTCCGCATCCGAGCGACGAACAAGAAATTTTCACAAAAATTTTCTTTTCAAACTCTCGACATCTTCTTTCGGGAACACCGTTTGCGACTTTTTTTTTACTTTGACCGAAGGTTCTCGCCACGTGGGGCCTGATTCGTGGCCCGCAGATGTGGTCCCCGGGGGCCACTGCTTTCCCTTTCTCCGTCTGCTCCCGTTCCATTTCTCTCCGTTTACCAAAGGCCGTTTAACAAAGAAGAAGCGTGTCGTTTTTTTCTCTGCAAATAAACCACGTAGCCGCTTCTGACAGGACAATGTGCGTTGCCAAGTCGCGCGAGATACCTCCGCGACGCGAGATGAAGCTGCAGACCGTACACTTACGACTTATTTATATCGCTGTTGCTCGAAGTTTGGACCAGAAGAAAAAGAGATTCGAGGAACCACGTTCGAAACCAACGATGACCCTCGGATTCACGACAGATGTTTAAAGCGTAAAACGTCGAAAGCGTTTCCATCACGCGCCCAACGTGTAATCCCTATTTTCGCGACTCTACTTTCATCCGATTCACACAGATTCGTTCGAGAAAGATATTACACACAGCTCACGAGTTTCTCAACGATCGAGGGAATCGTCAGTCCGACAGAGAGAACCTATTATAATCGATCAGAGTTCATTGACACGTCCCCTGGGGCTCTCCCGATTCGCCATCTGGCTGATCGAAAAAAATTCAATTTCGTCGAAATTAAGGAGTGAAACGAAGTTGGACGTGCGTGTCGAGTCTCTCGCTGGATTCTCCTTCGTACAACTGTTAACGTTAACGAAGGCGTTGATTCCACGATATCGGAGACGATGGACGTTCGCGGAGAACGATTCTACGATCCTCGATTTCTTCAGCGCTGCTGCTGCTTGTCTTTGCTGCTCGCTTTCGTACAGGGTGGAAAGAAAAGTTTGTCCGTGGCTATCATGCGTCGATTTGATGGAAATGCATGTAAAGAATCTACCGCAAAATTGACCTTGACCTGAAATTTTAACATCAAACTCTCTTCTTTTTTCTTTTGCATTGTATTCTACTCATCACGAAGGTAAAACTTTCCCAAGGAATCTAGTAATTTTCTTGAAAACTGGTAAAAAAGTTTCTCAAAGAATCACGAGTGCGTTCTAACAGCGACTTTATGGTTCTAGACGCGTGGATGACTATTTTACGCGAGTTTCGTAAGTTTCGCTGAGACTTGATTTACCATAGTTGCAGCATCAGTGTGAGTCTAAATAATCAAATGATAAAACTAACTGTTAACGTTATTCGAAATATAAATATCACATCTACGCGTCTAGAATCATAAAGTCGCTGTTAGAACGCACACGTCCAGTATTAAATGAATTAAGAAACATATCTGTTATTTTTCAAAGCAACTATTAGGTCGAACCTACGGTCCTTTCGTGGTGAGTAGAACACAATGCAAAAAAAAAAAGAGAAAAATTTTGAAATTCAAGGTCAAGTGTTTCCATCAGTTCGATAGAATTCATCTATGATAGCACAAACTTTTCTTTCCACCCTGTACCGGATACGCTCGTTACAAGAGGCAACTCTCTCTCTTTTCGAAGCAAGCCGCGCTGCAAGTGCATTCACACGAAGATAACCAACACGAGAGAGAGCGCGGTCATTCTCGTCCGGCATTGTCCGGCTCATTCGGTGACTGATAATCGCGGGCAATATACGTATATGAATCGGCCCGTGGTGAATGTTTGTCAAGCTTTATCGTACGTACGGCCACGCACGCCGCGCCGTAGCGCCTCGGCCGTTCGTTAACTCGTGGCTCCCGTTTCATCCAATAATTTCGCGTCGATCGCGTTAATTTTTCCCCAGGCCAACAATCGCCGGTCGCGGTGATTCAAATTTTATTTATCGAGCCGATGAAACTGAACACCTCGCTGATTTGCCCTTCGGAAACAACGCACAAGCGTGTTAACTCCTTAAGCGTTTACGTCGATTATACTCGTCAGAAAGAAAAATTCGTTTCTGCTATTTGTTGTGAAATTTAGGTAAAAAAAATTATATATATATATTTGTAATTTTAGCACATTTTAGAATATCTCGAGGGAACAAAACAAACAAAGAAAATAGGGAAAGTTCAGAGAAATCACAATGTAAAAACAAATTAATTCTAATCATTTTAATTTTACAAATATTTGATTTCCTTCTTCTTTTTATGTTTGAAAATTGATGAAAATTTTAGTTTCTTTTCTCTACATTTTCTTTGATCTTTCAATGGTTTTTTTTTTATGGAATAATTTTCAAAAAAAAGTGTCAAGTAGCATCAATAAAATTAAAAATTTTTCAAAGAAACAGCAAAAAAATTTAAAATTTAACTTAATCTCGCGTATTCAAACGTATTTACTGTATTTTCGTCGAGTGCACTCGTTATCGCCTAGAAATAATTAAAATCACCTTCGAAGGAAACGAACTCGCGACTGTCAAAATCGAAGCTTCAATTCAATTGAAATGAGAGCAAGTTGATCGTCGTGTGATATTTCTTTTCTTTTTCACAAAGTTTTTTGTTTTTTACCAATTTAAATCATCTACGATTTTTCATTATCACGGGTACAGTTATGCTCTTCGCTGTACGTCCAAACGAATTTATCGAGGCGATCGCGGATACATAAAATCGTTGAGGATCCAACAGGAAGGGACTTGGCGCGACTTATACCCGTACGGATGATCGAGACGAAAGAGAACCGAGAGCGACCGCCGCGATAACTCATCACCGCGCCCATGAAACTCTCTTTGTTCGCGTTTTGCGCGGTAACCAGCCTCGCGATCGTACGAGCGTAGTAGCACACCCACGCTCGCCCCCGTCACTCGATCTTCGTATCAAGCTGAAGAGTGGAGGGAGGAGGGATCCTCTCGGCGTAGGTTTCTGTGAATGATACCGTAGAACGGCCGTGGAATCGTCGAGAACGGAGCAGGCCGCCTCTATCTTCAATTACGGCGACACAGCTGATTATTGCCAATATATATCAACGAGCTGACAATTAACTCGGAACGCGCAAGATACTTTACTATCCGCGAATATTCTCGAGATACATATCCGCCAGTATATCCTATCCATTTCGAGGAAAATCGCGCCAACTTTCTCAAAAAGTACAAGAAGAGTATAAAGTATAAGAGTATAAAGTTTTCGATCCTGTGCCCTAGTGTCAACCATTGTTTTCTCTTATATGGATTGGCTGTGTAGAATCCACTTTTCGTCTTCGGTAACAATTTTCAGTCGAAGAGAAGGATCTCTGCTTAACCTACATGCCTGAAAGTGCACTGCAGGCAGATGGTTACACGTTGAATTTTGTTTCCAACTCGAAAGTGGACAGACACCCACGTTCCTTCTCTTTGCACCTTGTTCTGTTGTTCTGAACATCGTTGCATCGTGGATCACGAAGTTTTAAGCATCGTGGCTAATTCCTGAGTGGTTTGTATGAGAGCTGACAACAGATTCTCATCAAGCTCAACAGGTCTTCCAGATTTTACACTCGAAATGATTGAAATCACTGTTCTTAAATATTTCGAAACCAAACGCTCGCGTGTTCCGGTATCCAAGATAAACAGCATTAATGGCACTATTGTGCTTCCGAGACTCATGAAGCATCAAATGTCCAATGTATGGAATTCATCCACACTTTCATTCTTAGATGGTTCACTCAAATTTAACAGTAAGCACACTAATATATTTACGATATATTTACTTAGAATATAAATTATGTTAAATTATTGTTACTGGATGGCAATGTTTGTTAAATTTAAAAAAAAAAGGACGTTGCCTGTGGATACCCGTATATAAAGATACTAAATAAACTGATATACTAATATACTAAATAAACTAATATATAAACTAAAATAATAAGTTAAATATAATATAATAATAAATATTATATATAATAATATAATATATTTATATATATATATATAATAAAATATATAAAAATATTATATATTATATATGTTATATATTATAATAATATATAAGTAATATATAAACTAAAATAATAAACTATATAAACCTAATACCAAAAAAAAAAAAAAAAAGAAAGAAAAAGGAAACAAAGCAAAGAATCGGGGCAAGATCGGGTTGCGACGCCTTGGAATTAGAAGGCGATCCAAAGGGGGCGCGTAAATCACGGGTGGCGAATCTACTTTCCGGCCAGGAGCGCTATCGCGAGCATGTGTAAATGCGGGCGTGTAATGTATAACGTACCTTAGTGCGACGCACCCGCTGGGATCCGGATCTCTCTTCTGCTGACTACTCCCGGTAATCGAGTGCGGCCACGTTATCCTGGCAATTTCTGGCTGCGCTGGCACAGCGTAATTTCGTCGCAGCCGGCATTAACCGGCGGAGCGCGTTGCCAACAGCCACTCGATGCTCCGTGCCATCGATGATTCCTGATTGCGCGCCGAATGGGACTCGCTATCGGTCCAGCGTCGCCGGAGCGCGTCCGTTGATTTGTGACAACGAGTATGTATCTGCCGCGCGACACGGTCCCGAGAGAGTAGCGCGCGATCAGAGTGAAACAACTCGTAGAATATCGAGGCAAGAAATACGTATATATCGAAGATAGACTTCTTTAGCGAAGAAACTTTCCGAGAGGAACAAACGTCGCACTATCACTCGGCTAACACACTGTCGATTCCAACTCCACGCACTCGTTGTTGTTCACAGAATCGCAAGAGAATTCTTTTGGCTCCAGATCTCCCGAGAGAGAATGATTCAACCTGTGGATAAAAATTCTTCACACTACTTTCGCAACCACAATCGATCTTTCTCTCTCTGTTTTCAGCAAGAACCGCTGTGTTATTTATCGGCCTGCCATCCAGAATCCTGTCTTTTCGCCGCCGGGCGAGTCGATCGTGTGATTCAACGTTCTCACGTGTAACGATCACCATTTCCCTTTATCTGTACGAAAGAGCCATGGTTGAAATATCAGTTAACGTGTCTTGCGACTCTTCTAATTTTCATTCGACCGATCAATTCGCCGTGAGTTCGTCGAACGTTTCACCCGGGCTTCTAATTGCGAAGCCGACTCGCTATCAGCTCGACGAACCGACTGACAGCTCAAACACTGTTATCAGCCGCGCGCGCGCGCGCGAGAGAAACGAAACAGTGCGCGCGGACTATCGCTTCGGCTCGCCTTCTGTAAAATTAACGTCGTCGAATATTAATCACTGGTTTCGCGAACGTCCCAGGCTTCCGGCTTTCGCGCGTCGTTTCCACGGACAAACCTACGACGATCGACGCGCTATCGTCGACTGTCGCGACTGGCTCGAGATCGGGGCAAGGATCAGGCAATTCGTTACGGACGAGTTGCAGCCAGGAAGAGGATCGTGCAGAAGAACGATATAATTGATCGATACGAAGCTACTTACTACGGTACTTGTCACGACCTAACGAGGAGTGGATCATTCTTTTTCTAGATAAGAACGAAGGAGTAGCTCGTTTGGAGGTATCAAGGGCCAATAAAATTGATGGTAACAAGCGGAAAGGCGGAGGAGGCGGCGGAAATTTTGACAGCGTCGCGACAAGAAAAAAAAAAAAAAAGGGAAAAAGACTGTAAACGGGAGCTGGGAACGAGGTTAAGCTCGAGGGAGACAATGAATTTTGGATTACGTCGCGGCGTTGTTAAGGGACGACGAAGAGATTAAACAAGCTTAAGAAACGGCAGACGAGCCGGATACCCTTCTTAAGAAATTACCCAAGAAAGATCTCGTAAACGGGGGGAGGGTTCAGAGCCGTGATCTTAAGGGCATTAAAATAATTGTCTGCTACGGCGAGCTCCGGCATATTTCACTTGGTAGCGACACAGTGGAAATCCATTGCGGAAAACACGGCTCGTGACGCGCCCCGGCTGATATATGTATACGTACGCGAGAAAGAAAAACAGAGGAACACGGGAAAAGGAGCTGTGTTCGACGATGAAACGAGAAATAAAATAAGCCGGACGAACGAAACTGCGGAGCTGTGAACGCGACCCAATGCGAGGGAGACGCGTTCGGGTCGGGCGAGTTTGAATAACACGATTGAAAAACACCTCGGGTGAATAAACGATGCTCACAATTACGAGTGAAAAGGAAATGATGCTCGTATTTCATCTGCGCGTCATCACTTGAGAAAAACCGTGCCACTCGTAGTATTATCTCCAGACTTTTTCCACCAAGATGTCTGATATCTTTCTCAGAGTAGTATCGTTCGCAAAAAACGATAAAACACGGAAGAAGATCGCTCGATTTTGTCTCACTGCACTGATGTGTGTGTTATTCACGAGGTTTCTCGCCGGCGAGTCGACGATTTCGGGGACGCGATGCGCAGACGTCGATCCTCTCGATCGCGCTGGCGCGGCAAGACTGCCGCGTGGATCGGGATCGTGATCGAGGGACGACAAACAGGGGCGGAGCAACCGGTGGTCCGGTGTCGAATACGTTTCGAGTCGGCGCCAAGTTTCACTTCTATTCTTCCTTAAGATCGTTTTGACGAAATTCCAGAAAACGTAAAATATCGCGCTGCGTTGCGACAAACAACGGAACGCGATGATAACTCTTGCGCGAATTTGAAAGAACGTGTTCTCGAGAGGAAAGCGTGCGAGTATCATCGCAAAATGGCTGGATATTATTTTTCTTCCGGGACTGTTCATAAATCGTGGTTCGTGTCTTCAATTTCATAAACGCAGCTCGACGCCCAACGGTAAGAAAGGGAAAGATTCCCACGACGAGAGGTAGGAAGAAAATTTTTCGCTCGTCCCGCGTAGCCACGGAAGACGAATGAGATCGGAGGCGGAGGGATCACGCAACGAGTCCCGCGCCGCGCCGTGGCATCGTTCAATTAAATTAATGAAACGTCACAATTCCCAGCGCCGGGAGCGTCGATGCCGTCCGAAACGAATGAAACTCATCGCTGCGGACTCGCGCGGCGTTTTAACGAAATTAAACTATCGCCGCTCGAGTACCGATAAGTCAACAATCCCACGGATGTCAACGCTGACCGCATCGTCGATCACGAACGATACACGTTCGATGAACACCAAAACACTGGACGCCACCGAGTCATCCGAAAAATGATACGAACCGACAATCAAAAAATCACCACCGATCGAGGAATCGAGCGCGGTATACGTGCCCCTTTGTGTACACATCGCTCCGAAAATTCTACGGTCGAGGATCAAGTTTGACCAGCGATGGGCACGCACACATCGCAGCCTCGCGGTCGCCGAGATCGAGCGAGAGGAGTGACGAGCACGAGAGAAGCTCGTGACGAAACACCGAGTTCCCAGGTAGCCCGAGCAGGGAATGTGGCGAGGCTGGTTCCGATAGAAGACGAAGGTACCCCAGCTGCGTACCACATGGGCACATACCTGCAGGTATGCGTGCACCAACACCAGCCGGCAAGAAGTTGCATGCACGCCTCACTCGTACAAACTCGTCTGCCTCATTAAGGAACTCGACTGGTCCGGGCCGACTCGGCGTGCACCAGGAGGGGGTTTTTTCGCACACGAGCCAAGTTCAACGCACACTATCGCAAGGGAGAAACGTGGCGTCGAAGGGCATCGGCGTAAGGCCGGCCTGACGGCTACTACGATTCCAGCCTCTCACGTGGTTGCTCTTTTATTTCATCTGAAACGCGCGTTAACCCGCCACCTGAATTTAAAGCTTTTTCCTGGCATCTTTTTTTCCTTCCCCTTCTCCCTTTTCTTTTATCTTCTTTTATCTCGAGCTTTCACAACGAAGTGCACGAGCAGAGTTTGCCGACGTTAAGTTACGTACGTACGTATGCAAAACGAACGATTACATCGCCAGCGAGCCGGTGTGTGTGTGTGTACGTATGTACAGGGTGGGGAGAAAAGTTTGTCAGCGGCTATCACAGATGAATTCTACACTCCTTCGATCTGATGTTGATTTTGAATTTCAAAATTTTTTTCTTTTTGCATTGCACTCTACTCGTTAGGAAAGTGAAAGTTTTTTCGACGAACCGTAATCTAAGTCGCAACCTGATAATGGCAAATAAAATTGCGAACGCGTATGTTCTAACAGCGACTTTATAGTTCTGGACGCGTGGATGTAATGTTTATATTTCGAATAACGTGAACAGTTAGTCTTATCATTTGATTACTGATAATACGAAAATTACGTAAAATAGACATCCACGCGTCGAGAACCATAAAGTCGCTGTTAGAACCTAGGCGTTCGCAATGTTAAACATTTTGCCACTTTTCAAAACAACTATTAGTCGTGATGAGTAAAATACAATGCGAAAAGAAGAAGAAGAAAAAAAAAAAAAGATTTTGACGTAGAAATTAAATTTCGCGACAGGTTCTTTACTTGTATTTTCATCAAATCGAAGGTGTAGAATTTCTTTCCACCCGTATGTACGTACGTACGTATGTACGTATGTATGTATGTATATCGGAGAAGGGCGTCTTCGCGAATTTATTAATGTATCGCGCGACGGGAGTTCGTAGAGTGGTGTGTACGTACATATTACGCGAATGGGGGTAGCGGGTGAATATCGCGCGTTTTTCACGCGAGCCCCGCGCCGCGCCTATTCACCGATGTAAGCTCGTAGTTTATTCCGCTTCGTAATAGCCGCACAACCGGGCCGATTTTCCCGCCGGTGAATCGAGTTACGAGCTCTCGCGCACTCTCGCCACCGCTGGCATAATATCCGACTCCCGGCGAGTTTTGCGCGCCACTTCGTCGAGTCCCTTAAATAGTACCCGGGCGCCTCTTAATTAATTTCTTACCTCCCTGCGACTTCAATTTCCAACCTAACCTTCCACCTTGCGAGATCTCCATGAAGGAAACGCAGGAAGCTTCGAGCGAGGAAAAATTCCCCCGAAAATTTTATTTTCATTCATTTCCGCGTGATAAACGCGCAGAACGTGCCACGTCGTTCTTTTTTTTTCTTTCTTTTTTTGCATTTCTTTGGGAAGTGAGAGGCGCCGTACAAAAACGGAAGTTAATCTAAGAGAGAACGTTATGCGTCAACTCCCTCTCCTTGGCGAACAGATTTCTTTACGAACGTGAAAGTGCCGTACACTAATATTTCCCGCGACGTGGGTGAAAAAGCAACGATGTCCTTCATCCCCCGTGGATAAATGGCACGAGCCGGGAGCGTGCTCGCTACGAGCGTGGAATTGTTTTGCGAGAGAGTTGAAGGGTTGACAGGGGAAAGGAGACGCCGCATTATGCCGAGGCAAACGACAAACCGCCGAGAACGAGAAGTTTCCTCGTTCCTCGCCGCTACTTTCGTGAAACAAGAAGCACACTTGCCACGCGTGCGTTCGTCTCACGCTCTCTGGATACTCCGGAAGGCTCGTCACGTCGTTCGCTGGCTCGGAAAATTCCCCGGCGAATCTTAGGAATTTTGAGGGGCGGGCGGTGCGGCGCGAGATTAGAAACTAGTCAAAAGTTCACGGGTTTACATTGCGGAATTGACGCGCAACTTCCCGGAGCGAGGTTTTAACTAGGTGCCCCGAGTTTAACGCATTAACACGTTACCACTCCGCAAACACACGAGCCGCGAAACTTTGCCACCGTGTGTCCGCCGACACTCGTGCAAATAAACTCGATGTCTCGAGGAGAGTCGCTTTCGGAGGAGGCTCGCTGTCGCTTGGATATTCAAACCGATGCACGTAGAGAACGATACATAGAAAGCGCATTTGGAGTACTAGAGAGCAAAGGGAAAAAGAAGAAGGAAGCAAGAGGGAAAAGAACGAAAGAGGAGAGAGGAGAGAACCAGAAACGCTCATGCAGCCGGAGTCGATGCTTGAGAAAATTCTGCGCAAAAGTTTCGCCATACCCTCCTGAGAAAGGATTCCGTTTGTCCCGCTTTCTCGGTGTAACGCTCGAGTTTCTCGCTGCGAAAGTTCCGCCAACTCTCAACGCCAATAACTGGAAACTTCGCGCTACCTTTTTACTAATTAAGTAGCAAAATGTACGTACGTTGTTGTTACTTCCTCTCTTATTAGCTACGTTAGTGTTCGCGTTTTCTCTACGGCGTGTAGTCGCCGACAGAGAAACGTGTATCACGAGCGTTTCGCGTTCTCAGTAAAAGCAACGATGCGATTTTGTCGTACGCGAATCTGAATGCGAAGAAAAAACAACTCGAAGC